AAAAAAAAATTTCCACTTTCTGGAAATTAATTTCTTGAGTCGCACAAATAATTCTTCTCTGTGTAATATCCTCACAACTAGTTCCCATTCCCCTTCAAACAGTAACAGAAAGTGCTCCCACTTGTTACCAAAATACTAGATAAACGAGAAAAAATTCGAGATTGGCATAAAAACAAAAAGAGGACATCGAAGGGAAACTAAACATGTGGCTTATCAGATATCCGTCCAAACAGATAAAAAAAATCACTCGCGGATTTTAATTATCGTATTAACAATATTTTTACGTTTATTAAAAGATTTTAACGAGAAATTTTGACTAGCCTTACCTTTCAAAGTATTTACCACGATAATTAGAATTGCATTGAGCATTTGTGAAGAAGGAAAAATTGTCGAAATAAAGCACTTTCTACACGAATAAATGTGGATTTATTTTTTTTTTTATTGCATGGGTGTCGTAAAACATTATCGATCCCCCTGGGGTGTTCTCCACATTCTCGAATAAGTAGATCACTCATTTTTTCTAATGGGCGTTAATTCATTCGTCCATCAGTGCATAATTTTCGTGTCAAGGTTTCCGTTACGATGTTGATTACAATGATACGATCAATAAAAAAAACGGGAATCATTGCGGATATTCCTCGAGGTAGATAATAAATTCGACAAGTCATTGTCAATTCAAACATTACGCCGAGGACACACAAACAATTTTAATGTTAAATTGTCAAGGTTTTAGGGAAGTCCTCCCTGTTTCATTCTCCGCACGAAAAAGAGATTTCAGGGAAAATTACGTGACAACTGACGTAATTCAAGACTTACGAAGGGTTAATATTTATTTTTCATTTTCTAAAGTTTACAGAGATGGAATATGTGTCCATTTTGGAGGAATAAAGGCGACTGGAATTTATTTTAAGAATTTGATCATCGAATATTGAGGATTTACTTTAGCGTTTATTTAAAGTACGTGATTACATGAAAATAATGAATAATTGCGATAGTAATAATCTCCTGGAAATATACATTGATCTCCTGTCACTCCTCGATGTTTTTTCCTCTCGGACGTACAAATTTTTGGAAAATTATAGTATCGAAGCACTAGTTCACTTAATTATACAATTTTCACTGTATAATCACACAGACACCGATAAAACGTGCACTTAATATCGTTTCGCAATCACCAGTCTCAGTCATCATGTTTCTGTCATTCTCAGGTGTCACGAAGGGCCAATTATTAATTTTGCATTGCGTGATTGCACAGATTCCATGGGTAATGCGATCTCCAGAATTCTTGGAATTGAATAAATTATTTTGGGAGCAATCGAGACATTTTTTGAGAT